ATTTATATTGAATTGGATTTCTCCCAGCAGAAATATATATATATATATTTTTAAATTAGCTCAAGTTATATCATGTACTCTTCTAACTAATTAATAGCTTTGACATTTCCTGCTTTTTTTTCAATGCTAACTAATTTCCTACGATATTGTACATTGATTTAAGCTTTTGAGAATTGCATGTTTCTCCTACTTTAATTGCTTTTTTGCCTGTAGCCTACTCTTTTTAACTTAGCTCAGTTGGCTGGGTGGCTGGTTTGTGATGCCAACATTGTGGGTTCAATCCTTGCACTAGCAGAGGTTACCATGAGGGACTGTTCTTCTCAATCTCTCCCCTTGCCTGACACATGCTGATCTTCAGGTTAAACCGTCACCAGCCATTTCTCTCAAATGAGAGAGTAGCCCTATGATCCATTAGGACTCTGGTGTCTTTGCCTCTGCCTTTACTCTTTAAATTGTTCAGTCTCCTAACTGCCTTTCTGTTTAGCTTACATTTTCTCTGTCTCTTTCTCTCTGTCTCTCTCATTTTCAGTGGAATACAGGATGAGGGAGAGGCCAGTTTCCCCTCGGGTCCCTTCCACCATTCAGTGAGATCATGGACGATCAATGATAGTTCCATATATTCGCTTTGCCTCATACCCTTAGCATCTTTGTTTCACAGAAATCTATCAATTTTAATTTTAAAATTCTCAATTAAGTATGCATTGGCATTTACAGAGAGAGTTCCAGTCACCTACCGCATTCTCTCTCCCTGTACATCTTTCACAGAAATTCTCTCATTCTTCTTCACAACTCTTTTTTACTTTGTCTCCCAGGCATTTTTCATTTTGAATCCTTCCTCGCCTGTGCCTACTTCCTGTAATGTTTATCTCCCAATATTTATACAGCCTTCATTCATAAACTTCTCCTGATATGCTCATTTTGTACATTTCCCCATTTTAGGGCTCAGGGAATGCAGCAAACACAGAAACATAGAAAAGAGGAGCAGGAGTAGGTCATTCGGCCCTTTAAGTCTGCTCTACCATTCAATACGATCGTGGTTGATCATCCAACTCATACCCTGTTCCTGCTTTCTCCCCATACCCTTTGATCCCTTTTGCCCCAAGAATGATATTTATCTCCTTCTTGAAAACATTGAATGTTCTGGCATCAGTCACTTTCTGCGGCAGAAAATTCTATAGCCTCACCACACTCTGGGTATAGAAGTTTCCCCTCATCTCAGTCCTAAATTGTCCAACACATATCCTTCGATTGAGACCCCTGATTCTGAACTCCTTAGTCATCAGGAACATCCTTCCTGCTAGAATTTCTAGGAGATTCCCGTTATTCTTCTAAACTGCAGTGACTATAGTCCTAACTGATCTAGTCTCTTTTCATATATCAGTCCTGCCATCCCAGGAATCTGTCTGGTAAACCTTTGTTGCACTCCACCTGCAGCCAGGACATCCTTCCTCAGAAAAGGTGACTGAATGAGGGCTTTGACAGGATCCCTCGACTGGTGGGGATACCAGGGTGTCAGATTGCTCACGACAGGGAGTGGCAGACATTTGTAACCTGCTGGAAAAGGACCTGCTGCCAACTGGAACTGACAGCAACGTTGTCAAAGTCACTGCCATCCTCATAACTTTGTGTCTCAATGCCTCCAGGCCTCTGCTAGAGACAAATACAAGGATAACTTTACACAGATGCACTGACTGTGCAGGTGGGGCAAAGATCACCTCCCTGATCACCCAAGATTGTTCAATAACCACAAGCAAGGGCTTTGACTCTAAAGCATAGCAACCACAAATAGAATTGTCAAGTTGCTTTGTCTCATCCAAACAGTCTCATACCTGGAGTCAAGGTTATTGACAGCTAGCTTGGACATGAAGGAATTCCCCTTTTGAATGTGGTTGATGACACTTTCCAGAAACTTAATACGGAGGAGAGGAACAATACAGTCAATTTCATGTGACAATCCAATGTATTGCTCTGCATGTCATCTGCAAACATCAGTGCCTGGACAAGCCTAGAAATACCCTGAAGTACATGCCACTCAGGATCTGCACTCTTGTGCAACAGCAAGGTTTGGACCTGCAGAAAGCACAGCTTCCTCAGAATATTTCCAGGACGAGAACAAAGACAAAGACGTGGGCCAAAGGAAGGGAGAAGAGGTGGGAGGAGTAGGGCACCACTGCCTGAGATGCCCTCATTATTGCAAGGCTTGCTTCAGTTCCAGTAATTCACTCATTCAGACAATCTCGTGCAACAGCTACTTTGCTGTCATATCCAACTTCATTAACACAAAGAACCAAGTCTTCCTTTCACAGCACCCCTTTGCCCAACATCAAATTATTGCTTGCCATTCATTTTCATACAACTGAAAAGGCTGCTTGCCAACATTCCCCCTCACCCCACCAATATTTCTCTCCTGCCTCTGCTTAGCTGCTGATCAAGTGCAGGATATACAATGTGTTTTGCATCTGCCCTGAATTGCAGAACTCACCTGGGTTCAAGTCCTCAGCCTGGGGCCTATATGGGTCTGGGAGAAAGGACAACACACTAAAACTTAAAGTTCTAAATTGGAGGAAGGCCAATTTTGACGGTATGAGGCAAGAAATTTCAAAAGTTTATCCGGGATGGATATTCGCAGGTAAAGGGACGGCTGAAAAATGGGAAGCCTTCAAAAATGAGACAACGAGAGCCCAGAGACTGTATGAGTTAGGGTGAGGGGTGAGGCTGGTAGGTGTAGGGAATGCTGGATGACTACAGAAATTGAAGTTTTGGTCAAGAAAAAGAAGGAAGCATATTGTCAAGTATAGACAACAGGGATCGACGAATCCCTAGAAGAGTATAAAGGCAGTAGGAGTATACTTACGAGGGAAATCAGAAGGGCAAAAAGAGGACATGAAATGCTTTGGCAAATAAGGTTAAGGAGAATCCAAAGGGATTCTATAAATACATTAAAGACAAAAGAGTAACCAGGGACGGAATAGGGCCCCTTAAAGATCAGCATGGCCACCTATGTGTGGAACCGCAGGAGATGGGAGAGATACTAAATGAGTATCTGAAATGAGTTCTGAGGAAGGGTCATTGGACCCAAAACATTAACTCGGATTTTTTCTTCACAGATGCTGCCAGACCTGCTGAGCTTTTCCAGCAACTTCTGTTTTGTTCATGAGTATTTTGCATCAGTATTTACTGTGGAGAAGGATATGGAAGATAGAGAACATGGGGTAAGAAATAGCGACATCTTGAAAAATGTTCATATTACAGAGGAGGAGGTGCTGAATGTCTTAAAACACATAAAGGTGGATAAATCCCCGGGACCTGATCAGGTGTACCCTAAAACTCTGTGGGAAGTGAAGGAAGAGATTGCTGGACTCCTTGTTGAGATATTTGTATCATCAATAGCCACAGGGAGGTGCGGGAAGACTGGAAGTTGGCTAACATGGTGCCATTATTTAAGAAAGGTGGTAAGGAAAAGCCAGGGAACTACTGACTAGTGAGCCAGACATTGGTGGTGGGCAAATTGTTGGAGGGAATCCTGAGGGTCAGGATTCACATGTATTTGGAAATGCAAGGACTGATTAGGGATAATCAACATGACTTTGTGCATGGTAAATTGTGTCTCACTAATTTGATTGAGCTTTTTGAAGAAGTAACAAAGAGGATTGATGTGGACAGAGTGGTGGATGTGATCTATATGGACTTCAGTGAGGCGTTCGACAAGGCTCCTCATGGTGGACTGTTTATCAAAGTTAGTTCACCCGGAATACAAGGAGAACTAGCTATTTGAATACAGTGCTGGTTCAAAGGTAGAAGATAGAAGGAGGGCGTGGTGGGTTGCTTTTCAGACTGGAGGCCTGTGACCAGCGGTGTGCCACAAGGATAGGTGCTGGGTCCACTGCTTTTTGTCATTTCTATAAATGAGGTACAGTTAGTTAGTTTGCAGATGACACCAAAATTGGAGGTGTCGTGGACAGTGAAGAAGGTTACCTCAGACTACAACAGGATCTTGATCAGATGGGCCAATGGGCCAAGGAGTGGCAGATGGAGTTTAATTTAGATTAATGTGAGGTGTTGCACTTTGGAAAGGCAAATCAGGGCAGGACTTATACACTTAACGGTAAGGTCCTAGGGAGTGTTGCTGAACAAAGAGACCTTGGAGTGTAGGTTCACAGTTCCTCGAAAGTGGAGTCGCAGGTAGACAGGATGGCGAAGAAGGGGTTTGGTATGCTTGCCTGTTTTGGTCAGTGCATTGAGTACAGGAGTTGGGAGATCGTGTTGCAGCTGTACAGGACATTGGTTCGGCCACTTTTGGAATATTGCGTGCAATTCTGGTCTCTCTCCTATAGGGAGGATGTTGTGAAACTAGAAAGGGTTCAGAAAAGATTTATGAGGATGTTGCTAGGGTTGGAGGGTTTGAGCTATAGGGAGAGGCTGAATAGGCTGGGGCTATTTTCCCTGGAATGTCGGAGGTTGAGGGGTGACCTTATAGAGGTTCATAAAATCATGAAGGGCATGGATAAGGTAAATAGGCTAGGTCTTTTCCTCGAGGTGGGGGAATCCAAACCAAGACGGCATAGGTTTAAGGTGAGAGAGGAAAGATACAAAAGCAACCTAAGGGACAACGTTTTCACACAGAGGATGGTGCGTGCATGGAATGAGCTGCTAGAGGAAGTAGTGAAGGCTGGTACGATTACAACATTTAAAAGGCATCTGGATGGGTATATGAATAGGAAGGATTTAGAGGAATTTAGGCTAAATGCTGGCAAACGGAACTAGATTTATATAGGATACTGGTCGGCCTGGATGAGTTGAACCGAAGGGTCAGTTTCGGTGCTGTTTATCTCTATGACTCTATGACAGAAACAGTGATAAAGATTTAGTCATTACATCGGGCCTGAGAAGCCATTGACAGTGTGGCCATTGAGCGTGGCTGATCAAAACCCATACCTAGAAAGCTTCCAGCCCCTAAGATTCGAATGAAACTCGGTAAGAGGTAATAAAAGACCACTTACTTTTTAGTGCCTGCTTGACCATGTTGCCTCTACAGGGTCCAGGGTGTTATAAATATTAAAGCAAATTTTGCCACTGTGGGAAATCTGAGATAGAAACAGAAAATCAGTTGTTGATGAATGTTGACAGCCCCGAAACATATATACTCTATGTCTCCTCCCCAGAAGCTGACAGATCTGTTATTTTGAACATTTTCTGTTACAGTTAGAAGATAATCATTAATAAATGCAAGAAGGAACTTATTTACCCAGAGAATGGGTAAGGAGTTTTCTTTTACGCAAAATAAACTTTATTCATAAATTATCCACAAGTACATTAAAAGACAGTTCAAGTCCGACACTCATAGATGCCTCTATTCAAATGCAAAATTGCAACATTTACTAAATATGACAAGAAACAACTTATATTCCAATACAAGCTACAAGAGGTTCTATAAATTAGTAGACCCTCAGAGTATCATGGCAGAAAGTTCTCAGTTGGTGGCCTTTCCCCACTGCAACTTGCCAGTAGCTGCCCCAAGCTTTAGCACGTCCCTCAGCACATAGTCCTGGACTTTAGAGTATGCCACTCAATCGAGGACGAGGCTTTGCACTGGAACACTGACAAGTTTCGGACAGACCAAAGAGCATCTCTCACTGAATAGATGGCCCTGAAGTTGTTGTTTGTCTCGATGTACATCCCAGGGAACAGCCATAAGGAATAGTTGAAACAAGTAATATAGATGCATTAAGGGTCTATGTGGGAGAAATTAAATCCCTGTAGGTATACGTAGGAGAAAGCAACAGAAGGTTATGGTGACTGAGGCAGTAGGAGGATAACGTGCAGCGTAAACAGGTTTGTGGATCAGTTGGGCTAAGTGGCTAGTTTCTGTGCAATAAGAGATGTATAATTCTCTACAATTATTCTCCAGAAAGAAAACACAAACTCAACTCCTGCACCTATTATGGTACATGTGGTCTCATAACCTCGGGGGAAGCCCCAGAGTCATTGGGACAACATTAAGGGTGAGCTAAATTTCCTCTCCTTTGCACCTGGAAAGGAGGACATATGTGATCTAAGAGTTTCACAAGGTGGACACCTAAAGTGGCTAAGAGCAATAAAAAGTTTGGACATTTCACCTTGAGGCTCGGTTGCTTAAACAAATGTTATTACTTAAAATGGCTCGTTGCCAGCATGTTGCTTTACCTGAATAAAACAATCGATCATTGTCTGAAATCTCACTAGGTTTCACCGTTTTTCTCAACACAGTTGATCTGAAGATGGCTCAGACCTGTGAGAAGGATGTCAAACTTGAAGCACAAATTGCATCTAGTGTAAATCGAATGTAAATCTAGTGTAAATCCGATCCTTTGCATTCAGTTTTTGATTATGTTTGTTAGAAGCTGGTCCTCACCCCAAGACACCATGGTGTGTTACCCACTAACTGGGTCTTTTTGCAGGTTTTTAAGGAAGCTCTAAAAAAGGAACTTTGTTTTAAGGCATAAGGACACTGATCGGGATGTTCTAAAATCATTTCTTTTACATTTACTAAGAAACTGAACTGCTTTAACCCAACATAACTAATGTGTGGCTTTGCATAGCGTTTCATCAAAACCATTTGAAGTTACATAAAATCTGGTTACTTACAGTATTTTAAGTGAACTGCACCAGGCTATTATATTTTCAGGAATATTTGTTTAAAATAAAAGAATTGAATAAAAATTGCATTCTGAATGGCTGCCTGATTCATGGCAAATTTCACAAACCATGATATGCAATCTGAGGGGCAACTCAACGGTGACAGCATCGTTTGCAAAACTCGGGCAGTTCTAAGCACAATTTACACCTGGATCATTGATTGCACCCAGTGTGAAAGCTCTGCTCCCTGATATACAACGGCAATGAAAATTACATGTGGAAGACACATCAAAGTAAACAGTTTGGACATTTTAAGGTGGTAACAAAATTATGCGTGTATAAAGGTTGGATGCATTTTATCTTCCATTCCCTTAAACCAGAAAATCTATACATAATGTCAGATTTCCTTTCCTGCACGTTAAATAATAATAATAAAATATTGCAAGACAGGAGATAATAGCAATCAGGACAGGTGCTTTGTAGAAATATGGTGATTTCTTGAGGGCTTTATTAGCTTGCCGTCTGTGCAGCAGTTGAGAGAAGGCTATAGCTGCCCAGACGCAGCTGTCAGGCCAACAGCTGCTGTTTTGGCCTGATTCTGCTTTTATTGCAGCACATTATGAGATTACCCAGGCTAATGCAGCTCGAGCTGGCCAAATCTTTTCAGGCAGTTTTGTCAGCAGTGATTCCCTCTACCTTAGAGGTACAAAGTGTGGATCCTTCCTGGATTTTGCAGGTTGCCACAATAAAACAAAATTCACATGTGACCATTATTGCCAAGCCAGTGTAGTGTCAGGTCACATACAGTAGAGCTGACCAGGATAGCTCCGTCACATTCAATTTGTGTTGCCTGTTATTTCCTTGATTGTAAAGGATTGAGAGCTAGTTGACAGGATTTGATTACGGCATTCTAATCATTTTTAAATACAAGCCTATAACGACTGTCAGAATTCATGTTAAATGATCTGTTCTTTTTGAGAATGAAAAGGAATCTCCATAAAGGAAGGTATGGTTCACTACATATTCATTCTACAAAACGAATGAAGAACAATATTTATGCATTTTCTGTGGAGTCATAGTCACTTTTTCTTCTACACAGTACTATACTTTAGACCAGAATCCTGAGAAAAGGAGAGATTTTGTTCAAACTCACACAAGAGTGCAACTTCTTCACATTAACATAGGGAGGAGATTCATAAAAAGATATTAAGCTTCCAGGCTTGACTCAGTCACCAACTTGAAAGCACTTCAATATCTCCTTCACAACAATTAGGGATGAGTGTCAATGCAGTGGAAGAGACTAACCTATCAAGGTGTAAATATTGTAGCAAAAATGGGCATTAATCTTCACCACCAACGAAAAAAGATGAATGTTGTGTGATCCACTCTCACTCATTAATGGACAAGAATCAAAACACTTGACAACATCTAATGAGGGCATTCAGCCCATCTTTCTCTGCTGCTTGTTGCCACAGCAATTCAAAACTAATTTCACTACCACATCTCTCACCCAATAATATTGTGCCTCCCTTTGCGTCAAATATTTTAAAAATTACAACAAGGAGTTTAGAAGCTGAAGCTTTTCATCTTTGGATGCATGAATAGGAAGGGTTTAGAGAGATATGGCCAAATGCTGGTAAATGGGACTAGATTAATTTAGGATACCTGGTCATCATGGACGAGTTGGACCAGAGGTCTGTTTCTGTGCTGTACAACTCTATGACTCCACCTTGCACTCATCAGAACTGCAATGTAGGAACTAGACATTGAAAATAAAACAGACACCATTTTATCTAGAATGAGAAGACAATGCTGATTGGTTGGGCCATAATTGGAATGGAGATGCAGCAAAAACATTTAACTGCCAAGCTTCAGTCTCAGATCAGACAGTTATTTCTGATTTGTCGGGAAGTTGCCATGTGGTTGAAACAGAGATTCGATATTTCCAAAAACGTTCTTTTGAAAAAGGTTCAACTTAATGTACTAATTCCTTTTGCCCACATAAAGCAAGGCCCTATGTATTTCTGTACATGGCTTCAAACAGTGCAAATGTGGGCCCAATGATGATCTTAAATTGGTTTCTGAATAACTCTTAGCACAATCTGGATATTTTAATAAATGATTACCAATAGCAGAATCACATCTAATGGCTATACTTTTTCCAAGGCTTGCAAGTATAAACTGGTTGAGCATGACTAGCATACTGCCCACTATGAATGGTCAATAGAATGTGTTTGATATAGTTCACCAATCATTTGAATGTAAAGCTTACATATTTAACATCACATGGCACTAGAATGCACAAATCACTTTACTAACTTGAGAGGAAATAATAATTTCCCACATGTGCTCCATTTGTAGTGGGGGTGGGGGGAGGGGTAGCCATGGGTCAGGGTGGGATGTTCTTCAGAGGGGCAGTGTGAACACGAAGGGCCAAACGGCCTGCTTCCACACTGTAGGGATTCTATGATTCTTCTGTGAAAATGCTGTTTGATGCTTTTATTGACAAAAATAAGTTCAAGCTTAAATATCTCCCGAATTGGTCCTTAACTAATCTCATTTATGAAAAAAATTGAAATCTTGTGGCAGATTACTTTTACTGTGTCACCCCAGCTTTAATAGTATTGTGTGTTATTTATGGCTCTTAGTGAGGGCTCTTGCCATGGTAGTCGGAATCACAGCAGCATGGGTTCAAGCCCAACTCAAGCCTTACGCCCAAAAGTCTAGCCTGATGCACTAAAAGAGTGCTGGATGTCAGAGGTGCTGTGTTTTGAACGAAATATTAAATTGCATTGCTGTGAGTTACAGAGAAGATCCCACAGTGCCATTTCAGAGACGAAGAAGAACTGATAGAAGAGCAAAGTTCTGTAGTTGCTGGAAATACTCAGCAGGTGTAGCAGCATTTGTAGAGTTGGAAACAGAGTTAACATTTCAGTCCTGTGACTTTCTAGCTGAGAGAAGCAGAGATTATCGCGGTGCTAAGGCCAAAGGGAGTTAGAATGGTACAAGTACAGAAACAGAAGAATGTGACCAAAGGACATGTGAATGGCAGGATTCTGAATAGCTCCATCTGAACACAATGTAATGGAGTTAAGAGAGAAACAAGAGAAACAATAAAGTGACTGTTACAAAATAAAATTTGCCACCCTGATCCATCTGTGCATGTTCAGTTGTGCTGCGACATCATGTGCCTGTGCACTCAATTGACATAAGTTGGAAATACATGATGTCAGAACTCATCTGTTTCATGTTCTCCCCCCCTCTCATTTGACTTACAACATTCCTCATGTTAATACATGTGAACACTCTGATGTCTTCAGCAAGAATTGAGTATGAAAATATTTCACTTTTTTTAAAAATCACTGATTTTTTTTTAGATTTTAGACTTTATTGTCATGTGTACTCAAGTACAGGAATACAGTGAAAAGTGGATAATATTGCCATCTGAGGTTCCAAGGTACCTAGGTAC